TCGAAATTTCGTTTGAAGAATCAAGAAAAGCAGATGATTTTCGGTGGGGGGAAGATTTTAGTGAAAATTTACACTTTAGACCATATATGGTGTAGAGCATATATTCATATTGTTATAAGGCAGTAATAATTGTATATAATCTTATGGCGAAGGGTTCATATCATTATACCTCAAACATGTACAAAAATCTCTTTTAGGCATTTTATCGAACACATTCAAATCATATTTTTCCAAACAAACTACAACACCCTAACCTATTGCTACAAGCACACCATATATACTTCAATTCATCATTCAAATCGTGAAAATAGAAGAAAAATGAATAGGAATTATACCTTAATTGTTGAATTTAGTGATGTGTAGAATCTTTCTCTCGGTCTCGCTCTCTTCTCTTTTCTTACTCTCTACTCTTTTCTTGCTTTCTGTTCAAAGTGAAAAGAAGAAACATAAATTTGAGTATATGATTACAATTCTATAGCAGTACATCAATAATTCTTCCGAGATCAAGACCAAACCATCTACACAGTAAATCATCTGTCCCAATTAAACCTGACAATCTTTTGTAAGTAGAAAGTTCACTTAGGTTACATTTTGGTGGGAAGGATTTGGAATTGGGTTTTGTTGGTGATCCCCTTTTAGGGCCTGGATTCGAATTCTAAAGCAGGTAGTGAACTCGAAATTTCGTTTGAAGAATCAAGAAAAGCAGATGATTTTCGGTGGGGGGAAGATTTTAGTGAAAATTTACACTTTAGACCATATATGGTGTAAAGCATATATTCATATTTTTATAACGCAGTAATAATTGTATATAATCTTATGGCGAAGGGTTCAATTCATTATACCTCAAACATGTACAAAAATCTCTTTTAGGCATTTTATCGAACACCTTCAAATCATATTTTTCCAAACAAACTACAACACCCTAACCTATTGCTACAAGCACACCATATATACTTCAATTCATCATTCAAATCGTGAAAATAGAAGAAAAATGAATAGAAATTATACCTTAATTGTTGAATTTAGTGATGTGTAAAATCTTTCTCTCGGTCTCGCTCTCTTCTCTTTTTTTACTCTCTACTCTTTTCTTGCTTTCTGTTCGAAGTGAAGAGAAGAAACATAAATTTGAGTATATGATTACAATTCTATATCAGTACATCAATAATTCTTCCGAGATCAAGACCAAACCATCTACACAGTAAATCACCTGTCCCAATTAAACCTGACAATCTTTTGTAAGTAGAAAGTTCACTTAGGTTACATTTTGGTGGGAAGGATTTGGAATTGGGTTTTGTTGGTGATCCCTTTTAGGGCTTGGATTCGAATTCTAAAGCAGGTAGTGAACTCGAAATTTCGTTTGAAGAATCAAGAAAAGCAGATGATTTTCGGTGGGGGAAAGATTTTAGTGAAAATTTACACTTTAGACCATATATGGTGTAGAGCATATATTCATATTTTTATAACGCAGTAATAATTGTATATAATCTTATGGCGAAGGGTTCAATTCATTATACCTCAAACATGTACAAAAATCTCTTTTAGGCATTTTATCGAACACCTTCAAATCATATTTTTCCAAACAAACTACAACACCCTAACCTATTGCTACAAGCACACCATATATACTTCATCATTCAAATCGTGAAAATAGAAGAAAAATGAATAGAAATTATACCTTAATTGTTGAATTTAGTGATGTGTAGAATCTTTCTCTCGGTCTCGCTCTCTTCTCTTTTCTTACTCTCTACTCTTTTCTTGCTTTCTGTTCGAAGTGAAGAGAAGAAAGCCGTTTTTTTTTTAAATGTAACAGTACAACGGATTCTCATAATACGTTTTACTTTTATTTATTTGTAAAACGGAATATACATGCGTTATCAAGTAAATCGATCGAAAAAACCATAAATAAAGCGCGATTTGGTCGAAAAACAATCAAAACAATCATATACATGCACGATAGTATAAAGTTGGAACGATAGTATAAAGTCATTGGAACGATAGTAAAAAGTTGTTAGATCGTCAAAACCTTCATCACAAAATTATTTTTATTCAAGTAACACTATTCTTATTTAAATTACTCTATTCTTATTTAAATTACAGTTAAAGTAAACTATAAATTAATTTATGCAACACATATTATCATAAATAAAGAACATTTATATTATACATACCATTAACATGTAAACTTAAATCATATTATACATATTGTTTCAGTGAGTACTTTAGCAAAACATTTCTATGAAAATAATATATTTTTCACTTAACGAATAACTTTTTTCGACATAAATTTTACATTTTGTATGTTGAAGAATTATTTTTATTCAATCATTGTTACACATATGCATGTCAATTAAGCATATGCACCAATGAGAGTATCGTCTCTAATTTCCATATATCATATTTTATTGCAGAATTAAAAAAATTAAAGAGGAACAATTTAGTGAACATGCATATTTTTAAGAATGATTGAATCAAACATAAAAAAAAAAAAATCAATTATTTTTACATTTTTAACTTTTATTTGAAACAATTTTAATTGTTTATATTAACTTTTATTTGAAACAATTTTAATTGTTTATATTATAAGCAATAAATGTATTTAGAATAAGACATAATATAACTTTATGGAAGTAACATAATATAGCACTCTTGAGTTTTGAGGGTATTAGTGACATCTTAGATTTTATTTACATGTTGGATGAGATAGTAATGAAGTTATAATATTATCATAAATTATTTTAATACATTAATATTAAGAAAAATTAATTAAAAAAATAACATACAAATATTTTAATATATTAATATTACAAAATTATCTGTCCATTGCCTATGGAGCTTTGCATATGGAGCTGGAAGAGTCATTGTTGACAATTCTCCTGGCATAGTGCTAATAATGGACTAGATCAAAATGACTCAATGAAGTTTCTAGAAAAAAATATATCAAATGACGCAACGCACCGCTATGAAAACAACCTCCTTGTATAATTACAAGGGTAAGATCTGCGTACAACTACCCCCAGACCGACCCCAACCTGTTCGTTTGGAATATATTGGTGGGTATGTTGATTGATTGATTGAATATTACAAAAATTAATTAAAAAAAACATGCAAACATTTTGTAAATGACAAAAAACAATGAGAACCATAATTTAATTGAATAAAATATTAATAGTATAATAATACAATAAGAATAAAAAAGATTCATCCATTATGACAGTTGAAAAAAAAAGTTAAATAAGAATAAAAAAGATTCATCCATTATGACAGTTGAAAAAAAAAAGTTAAATAGAAAAATGTTTGGTTTCAATAAAAAGTAAGATCAATG